TTCTAGAGACTTCTGGTGACGTCTGGAGACTTCTAGAGACTTCTGGTGACGTGTGAAGGCTTCTAGAGACTTCTGGTTACGTCTGGAGACTTCTAAAGACTTCTGGTGACGTCTGGAGACGTTTAGAGACTTCTGGTGACGTCTGGAGACTTTTGGTGATGTCTGTAGACTTCTGGTGATGTCTGTAGACTTCTGGTGACGTCTGGAGACTTCTAGAGACTTCTGGTGACGTCGGGAGACTTCTACAGACTTCTGCTGACGTGTGAAGGCTTCTAGAGACTTCTGGTGACGTCTGGAGACTTCTAAAGACTTCTGGTGACGTCTGGAGACTTTTAGAGACTTCTGGTGACGTCTGGAGACTTCTAGAGGCTTCTGGTGACGTCTGGAGACTTCTAGAGACTTCTAGGGACTTCCGGTGATGTCTGTAGACTTCTGGTGATGTCTGTAGACTTCTGGTGATGTTTGTAGACTTCTGGTGACGTCTGGAGACTTCTAGAGACTTCTGGTGACGTCTGGAGACTTCTAGAGACTTCTGGTGACGTCTGGAGACTTTTAGAGACTTCTGGTGACGTCTGGAGACTTCTAGAGACTTCTGGTGATGTCTGAAGACTTCTAGAGACTTCTGGTGACGTCTGGAGACTTCTAGAGACTTCTGGTGACGTCTGGAGACTTCTAGAGACTTCTGGTGATGTCTGGAGACTTCTAGAGACTTCTGGTGACATCTGGAGACTTCTAGAGACTTCTGTTGATGTCTGAAGACTTCTAGAGACTTCTGGTGATGTCTGGAGACTTCTAGAGACTTCTGGTGACGTCTGGAGACTTCTAGAGACTTCTGGTGACGTCTGGAGACTTCTAGAGACTTCTGGTGACGTCTGGAGACTTCTAGAGACTTCTGGTGATGTCTGAAGACTTCTAGAGACTTCTGGTGACGTCTAGAGACTTCTAGAGACTTCTGGTAACGTCTGGAGAATTCTAGAGACTTCTGGTGACGTCTGGAGACTTCTAGAGACTTCTGGTGACGTTTGGAGACTTCTAGAGACTTCTGGTGACGTCTGGAGACTTCTAGAGACGTCTGGTGACGTCTGAAGACTTCTAGAGACTTCTGGTGAGGTCTGGAGACTTCTAGAGACTTCTGGTGCGTCTGGAGACTTCTAGAGACTTCTGGTGATGTCTGGAGACTTCTAGAGACTTCTGGTGACGTGTGAAGTCTTCTAGAGACTTCTGGTGATGTCTGGAGACTTCTAGAGACTTCTGGTGATGTCTGGAGACTTCTAGAGACTTCTGGTGATGTCTGAAGACTTCTAGAGACTTCTGGTGACGTCTGGAGACTTCTAGAGACTTCTGGTGAGGTGTGACGTCTTCTAGAGACTTCTGGTGACGTCTGTGGTGACGTCTGAATACTTCTAGAGACTTCTGGAGACTTCTGGAGACTTCTAGAGGCTTCTGGTGACGTCTGGAGACTTCTAGAGACTTCTGGTGAAGTCTGGAGACTTCTAGAGACGTCTGGTGACGTCTGGAGACTTCTAGAGACTTCTGATGACGTCTAGAGACTTCTAGAGACTTCTGGTGATGTCTGGAGAATTCTAGAGGCTTCTGGTGACGTCTGGAGACTTCTAGAGACTTCTGGTGACGTCTGGAGACTTCTAGAGACTTCTGGTGATGTCTGGAGATTTCTAGAGACTTCTGGTGATGTCTGAAGACTTCTAGAGACTTCTGGTGACGTCTAGAGACTTCTACAGACTTCTAGTGACGTCTGGAGACTGCTAGAGACTTCTGGTGACGTCTGGAGACTTCTAGAGACTTCTGGTGACGTGTGAAGGCTTCTAGAGACTTTTGGTGACGTCTGGAGACTTCTAGAGACTTATGGTGACGTCTGGAGACTTCTAGAGACTTCTGGTGACGTCTGGAGACTTCTAGAGACTTCTGGTGACGTCTGAAGACTTCTAGAGACTTCTGGTGACGTCTGGAGACTTCTAGAGACTTCTGGTGACGTCTGAAGACTTCTAGAGACTTCTGGTGATGTCTGGAGACTTCTAGAGGCTTCTGGTGACGTCTGGAGACTTCTAGAGACTTCTGGTGACGTGTGAAGGCTTCTAGAGACTTTTGGTGACGTCTGGAGACTTCTAGAGACTTCTGGTGACGTCTGAAGACTTCTAGAGACTTCTGGTTATGTCTGGAGACTTCTAGAGGCTTCTGGTGACGTCTGGAGAATTCTAGAGACGTCTGGTGACGTCTGGAGACTTCTAGAGACTTCTGATGACGTCTAGAGACTTCTAGAGACTTCTGGTGATGTCTGGAGACTTCTAGAGGCTTCTGGTGACGTCTGGAGACTTCTAGAGACTTCTGGTGACGTCTGGAGACTTCTAGAGACTTCTGGTGATGTCTGGAGATTTCTAGAGACTTCTGGTGATGTCTGAAGACTTCTAGAGACTTCTGGTGACGTCTAGAGACTTCTACAGACTTCTGGTGACGTCTGGAGACTGCTAGAGACTTCTGGTGACGTCTGGAGACTTCTAGAGACTTCTGGTGACGTGTGAAGGCTTCTAGAGACTTTTGGTGACGTCTGGAGACTTCTAGAGACTTCTGGTGACGTCTGGAGACTTCTAGATACTTCTGTTGACGTCTGGAGACTTCTAGAGACTTCTGGTGACGTCTGAAGACTTCTAGAGACTTCTGGTGACGTCTGGAGACTTCTAGAGACTTCTGGTGACGTCTGAAGACTTCTAGAGACTTCTGGTGATGTCTGGAGACTTCTAGAGGCTTCTGGTGACGTCTGGAGACTTCTAGAGACTTCTGGTGACGTGTGAAGGCTTCTAGAGACTTTTGGTGACGTCTGGAGACTTCTAGAGACTTCTGGTGACGTCTGAAGACTTCTAGAGACTTCTGGTGACGTCTGGAGACTTCTAGAGACTTCTGGTGACGTCTGAAGACTTCTAGAGACTTCTGGTGATGTCTGGAGACTTCTAGAGGCTTCTGATGACGTCTGGAGAATTCTAGAGGCTTCTGGTGACGTCTGGAGACTTCTAGAGACTTCTGGTGACGTGTGAAGACTTCTAGAGACGTCTGGTGACGTCTGGAGACTTCTAGAGGCTTCTGGTGACGTCTGGAGAATGCTAGAGACTTCTGGTGACGTCTGGAGACTTCTAGAGACGTCTGGTGACGTCTGGAGACTTCTAGAGACTTTTGGTGACGTCTGGAGACTTCTAGAGACTTCTGGTGACGTCTGAAGACTTCTAGAGACTTCTGGTGACGTCTGGAGACTTCTGGAGACTTCTGGTGACGTCTGGAGACTTCTAGAGGCTTCTGGTGACGTCTGGAGACTTCTAGAGACTTCTGGTGACGTCTGGAGACTTCTAGAGACTTCTGGTGACGTCTGAAGACTTCTAGAGACTTCTGGTGATGTCTGGAGACTTCTAGAGACTTCTGGTGATGTCTGAAGACTTGACGTCTGGAGACTTCTACAGACTTCTGGTGACGTCTGAAGACTTCTAGAGACTTCTGGTGACGTCTGGAGACTTCTCGAGTGGGTGGTGGGGTGGGTGAGTGGTGGGTGGGTTAGCGGTGGGGGGGGTGGGTGGGTGAGTGGTGGGTGGGTGGGTTAGCGGTGGAGTGGGTGGGTTAGCGGTGGGGTGGGTGGGTGCCTGGCCAGAATTTGGACCAAACTTGTTTTTACCTGTGGGATAAAAATTTGTTGAATTTTTGACGGCATTTTTTTTTTAAACGCAATTTTATTGCATCCTCTTTGGTTCTTTAGGTAAAGTCACGTAGATATGAAATAAAATCAATATTGCAATTTTATTGATTGCATTGTGGGTTGTGGTGGTGCCGCGGGACACACACACACCTCCACACACACGTACACACACACGTACACATACACACAACAACAACAACCGCCATTCGCCACTAAGTGGCGGTGACGTCACCACGACGCTTGTGCCAGGCTATGTGCACCGTGAGGCCACGTGAAGTGTCGAACGCCCGCTGGCAGGAGGTCACTGGGCAGACCCAGGTGCCACGGGTCGACTGACTAAGATGACTGGCTGATGCACCACCTGTGCCACCTACTGTGCCAACCTGCTGTGCTTTAGCCACCCGGCGCTAGGCTCGTTGTTCTGAGCGTCGCTCCTCCGCCCTCCGTTGTTGTTGGAGGGCGACTGCCTCCAACTGCCCAGTAGCATCCTTCACGAGCCTCCTCCACAGAGGCCGATCTTGACACCGCTGGTACCAGTCATCGGCAAGTCCACTCAGCTCCACGTCCTCCTGTACCACATCACTCCATCTCTTCTCTAGCCCGTGCCACGCCCGCTTAGCCCCCTCAATCCGGCCAAACAAAAGCTGTTTCGGCATGCGGTGGCTGGGCATGCGTGCTACATGACCCAGCCATCGCAGCCTTGCCTGCCGGAGGAGCTCACCGATGGGACCCTGCCCAGATCTTTCAAGGATTTGTGAGCTCCCCACACAATCCAGTCTGGTTAAACCCAGGATGGATCGTAGGCAGGCCAGCCTAAATGTTTCTAACCGGCGAAGATGTTCCATTAGGGGGGTCCACGTTTCGCAAGCGTAGAGAAGGGAGGGAATGACTGTGGCCGAGAAGACCTGAAGCTTAGTGCGGAGCGACAGACCAGGTAGCTTCCACACAGCGTTACGCAACCGATGAAAAGATATTGCCGCTCGACTGATTCGGAGTGAGACCTCTGCTGTTAAACTGGAGCCAGTCATAAGCACACTGCCCAGGTATGGGAAACTCTCCACTCTCTCCACAACTGCCCCATCACCGATTGGGAGTTGTGGGGGTGGAGTGTCCGATGGTACAAAATACCCAGGCAGGTGCTTAGTTTTGGTGGGGCTGATGGTAA